TACCCTCCTCATCAACATGTCCCACTCCCCAACTCAGGCAGAGAGCTGATATGAAATTCCCCTCTGTATGCTCTGATTACCATTAATGAATAAAGAAACTGCTTTGGATCTATAGCAGGGCAGAACTTAGGTAGGCACGAAAAACTAAACTGAATGCTGGGAGAAAGGAGGTGGAGGCAGGGAGAATCCATGGAGCCACTGCCAGAGACAGATGTGCTGAAACTTTGCTGGTAGGCCACAACCTCATAATGATGCACAGATTAATAAAGATGGGATAAATTAAGATATAAGTGTTAGCCAATAAGAAGCTAGAGCTAATGAGCCAAGCAGTGTTTTAAATAATATAGTTTCTGTGTAATTATTTTTGGGCTGAGCAGCCAGGAACCAACAAGCAGCCTCTTTCAAAAAACTGACACACCAACATAGCCAACTAAAACTCCACATAAAACCTGAGAGGGCTTGGAAAGGAATTCTAGACACTAAAAAACAAAGTTTAGCCACATTTTTTCCAAATGGGCTCTGCTTGCTGGTGGCATGATGCAGCTCCTTTAAGAGAAGTTTTTCTGATTCAAAAACCATTTTGAAATGTTAGTTTTCTGGGCTGTGATGTCAGTGCCTCTTTCAGGAGGCTGAGCATTTAAATGGGGTTTGTGAACAGAGCACTACAAGTTGCTTAATGGCAACATAGACTGGCTGTGTGCCTAAAGATGGGGCTATCAGCATGGCTCTCAGAGTCAGCAAACAGTTCCACCATGCTAGACTGGGTGGGGCAAGCAGGCAGTGCCATATTTCCCCTAGCAACAGTGTCAATTAAGTTCATAAGAAGGACTTAGCATTTTAAGAAGCACTCCTGGACAGTAAATAATTACAGATACACAATAGGACAGATTCAGACATAAAAGACCTCTAAATGAGTCACAGTGTTGGATAAATGTACATAGTCTTGGAAGAGAGAAGAAAAAGAGTATAGAGAATTATAAAAAGAATTAAATGGTTTAGAAAAAAATAAAACAAAGTCTTTAAAGACACAGAGTACAGACAGTCACAGATTAAAAGGAGCAAAGAAAAATACGCCACATAAAAATGGAAAATTCAGAGAGTCTGGATTATCTATATTATTGTGTTTTCTTTGAATTTTTTGACTGTGAATGAGCTAAGTACAGAGAGACATTTCATTGTAAAGGCTGTTAAGCTAAACCAACACACACACATACACACACACACACACACACACACACACACACACACACACACACATATATATA